TGAACATCAGTTAATAAGATTTATTAATTGTCAACTTGCATGCTATTTTGGATAAATTTTTAGGCAAGTTACTATTTCTTACCGTTTTATTTGAGATCAATCACATGATTTCATCTACGTGCATTGCCAAAAAGTTGATTGTCTTTTACAGTAGAGTTGTAATCAATCAAGTTATCGTGAAAACTAAATATTATAGTAAAGTTGATTGCTTTTTGGAGTAGAATTGCAGTCAATCAACTTATCGATTAGAATACACTTATAATATACATGGTACTAGTAAATGTTTGAAGTTTCAAAAGCTCGTCAATAAATACTACTATATGTTAAGGTTAAGATCTCACATTATTTAAATATAAAAATAATATCTATTTATAATGGTTGACTAGTTTTCTTAATAAGGTTGTCTGAAGATCCTATTTAATATCACAACTGAAAACGCTCAAACGATTAAAAAAATTTCATCATTAAAGTTCAACCACCATTAAAGTAAATTCTTCCATACAAACATTCTTTACACCGACTATAAATAATAAAACTCCAAGTGAACATAAAATTTACAGCAAAGCAAATTGCACAAATATTTATATACCAACTTGAAATGTAATCCCTTTCCTACGAAATCTTCGAACTCATATTTTAAATTTTTTAACCAATTAAAGTGCTTCCTTATTCGAGACATATCACCTATTTAAGCAGCACTTCGTTTCATTTCCTCCTCACCCCAGACCACGCCTTAGTCACTAACTGCTATTTCTGCAAAAAAAATTATATTGTTTTCTGCATTTTTATTTTGTCCTTTTGAAAAATAAATAAAAGTCTGTCAAATTTAATGATATTAATGGAGTTCGTTGAAATTTCTGAGGATACAAAATGGTGGATTTTCACCGTTCCTGCCATTCTGGAATTTTCAAACATGCATGGCTCAGGTTTTGTGTTATTCTGTATTTTCATTGGTTTCTTGACTTTTGGGCTAATAGGTTGGGCTTTTTCCACTGGTGGGCGGGCTTGGAAAAATGGACGGAACAAATTGGGCCGAGTTTCTATTCCTGGGCCTAGAGGGCTTCCAATTTTTGGTAGCTTGTTCAGCTTGAGCCATGGCTTGGCTCACCGTACTCTAGCTTGCATGGCTTCGACTCATGCGGCAACCCAATTAATGGCTTTCAGCGTGGGTTCTACCCCTGCTGTGGTGACCTCTGAACCCCACATTGCTCGAGAAATTTTGACCTCCCCACACTTTGGTAACCGTCCAATCAAACAGTCGGCTAAGCAGCTCATGTTCAGCCGAGCTATTGGGTTCGCTCCCACTGGGGCCTACTGGCGTATGTTAAGAAGAATTGTATCATCCCACCTTTTTTCGCCCAGTAATATATTAGTCCATGAGCCATGGCGTCAGCTAGAATGCGTAGCCATGGTGAATGCAATAGCCACGGAACAAGCCAGCCAAGGTTTTGTCTTTCTCAGAAAGCACTTACAAGCTGCTTCTTTGAACAACATAATGGATATTGTCTTTGGTAAAAGGTATAGTTGGATATATTATACTCAAAAATTGACTTTTTTTTGTGCAAATTTTTGCATTGATGCTTCCTCGAATAATGTATATAGTATAAGTAGCACTCAACACCCGTTTAGGTGGCATTAAAGTCAATTGTCTACTTAATTTCATTAAACAATGAAGTACTAAACCCAATTGCCACATAAACTGGTGCTGAACACTATGGTGTTAACTAGCGTCATTCTTCTTCCTATCTCGTGAAAATTTGATTTTCTCTCGCTGATTTGCATTTATGTATTGCTGTGTGGTGATAATTTTCTCCGCAGGTATGATCTTACACGATATGATAACGAGGCCAAAGAGCTGCATGAAATAGTGATGGAAGGATTTGAGCTCTTGGGAGCTTTCAATTGGTCTGATCATTTGCCATGGTTGAAGTATTTTTTCGATCCTTTTTGCATTCAAGAACGTTGTGCAGCTCTTGTTCCTAGAGTAAAAAAACTCATCAAACAAATCATCGATGAACATCAAAATAAGAGTTCATTTAAAGTATCCAATAATTGTGGTTTCATCCATGTTTTACTCTCATTGGATGGTGAAGAGAAGCTTGATGAGAATGATATGGTGGCTGTCTTATGGGTTAGTAAAAAACTTTTCTATGTTTGCATGTTATCTTTTTCCTTGCAATCCTTTCAAGAAACGTGGTTTTTTGGATGCATAACTTTTTTGTCATAAGAATTACGAGCTGGAAATGAGTTCACTGGTTTCCTTTTGGATGTGCAATTTTCTTTCGCTATGCAGGAAATGATATTTCGCGGCACTGATACAACGGCACTGCTGACAGAATGGGTAATGGCGGAACTTGTCCGAAATCCCCAAGTTCAAACAAAAATTATAACCGAACTTGACACTATCATAGGAAACAAAGGTGTCACAGATGCTGACATTCCTAAGTTGCCCTACCTTAACGCCGTGGTGAAAGAGACACTCCGTTTGCATCCACCAGGACCCCTCTTGTCGTGGGCCCGCCTCTCGACTGCCGATGTCCACCTGAGCAACGGCATGATAATTCCGGCGAATACTACTGCAATGGTGAACATGTGGGCCATAACACATGACCCTAATGTGTGGAATGATCCCTTGATTTTCAAACCTGAAAGGTACCTACCATCTGCTGGTGGTGTGAATGTGGATGTGAGAGGGAATGACTTGAGGCTTGCGCCATTTGGGGCTGGAATTAGGGTTTGTCCTGGAAAGAGCCTAGGGCTAGCGACAGTGAGCCTCTGGGTGGCTAAGTTGGTGCACCATTTTGAATGGGTTCAAAATATCGCTCAGCCTGTTGATCTCAGTGAGGTCTTGAAGCTCTCTTGTGAGATGAAGAAACCACTCTCTGCTGTGGCCATTCCAAGGGTTAATGGTGCCTTGAATGTCTAGGGTTTTGTTATTGTTCTAATTTCTTGGACTTGATCCCTCTCTTTTTACACATAATACTATGGTGAAATAATTATGGTTGCTCATATATAAGGGCGACTATTCTAAGATGCATGTTTAACATGGATGTAAGAACAAAAATAATGTGTAATACGTTTTATTTTCGTTATTAATAAAACATGTCAATGTCAATGTATGTGCAATGTTTAACTATATATATATATATATTCATGTCTTGTACTAGTTTAATTAACTTGCACTACAAGAAAACACAGATGTCTAAATCTTAAGTAGCTCTTCGTAATTTTTTGACAAGTTTTTTATTTTTCAGTAAATTATTGTTGAAAAATAATTCATCCATAATTTTCCTGAATTTTTTTTTTTCCAATTAACGGTGGTACATGTTTGTTAAAGTTTATAATTGTTTACGCTCAGATAAATTCTATTTTTATCCACACATTCACTACTAAAAAACAGCTTTTTACTTACGAAAAATTATCAACGAATGCAATCCATTGATAATTAGAAACAGATTATTCGTTAGTAAAAGTTATTCACTTTCAACTACGATAATTAGCAGCGAATTTTTTGTTGGTAACGATGATATTTCTTTACCAACGGATATTTCGCGCCTTATTTAATCAATTTACATTTAGATCTTTCACCTACGAATATATTCCGTAGGTGACGTACCGAATATTAGAAACGGATGCAATCCGTTGGTAATTAGAAACGAATTATCCGTTAGTAAAAGTAATTCATTTTCAACTACAATAATCAGTAACGGATTTTCCATTGGTAACGATAATATTTCTTTACCAATAGATATTCCATGCCTCATATAATTGTTTAACATTTGGATCTTTCACCTACGGATATTCCCTTGGTAATTAAAAATAGATTATTCGTTGGTAAAACGAATTCACCTATCCTACATCGAAGGTTCACAACAAAATCTTTGGAGTTGCCCTCTATAAATTAATTTATGGTTTAATAAGTGGTTAAACAATATTTTGACCTTTCAATTCGGTTGGCTAAAAATAAAAAATAAAAATAGAATTATTAAATAAATAATAATAATAATAAAAAAAATATTTTTTTTACCATGCTTCACACTTTTCCGGTTATTTACAACATTAATTTTTACCAATTGTAATGTTAGATATTTACCAATGGAAAGTCAATTGGTATTGACAAGATTTTTATGAACGAAAATTTCATTGGTAAAAGATTCACACTTTACCAACGAAATTTTCGTTGGTAAAGTGTGAATCTTTTACCTACGGTATCCGTTAGTAACTATCAGCGACCCTCAAATTTGTAACGGATTTACGTGAATCTTTTACCTACGGTATCCGTTAGTAACTATCAGCGACCCTCAAATTTGTAACGGATTTACGGTTGCAAATATTTCGTTGATAAAGAGTAATAGCAACGGATATCATGGTTTCAAGAACAGAAAATCCATGCTTGAAGCCCTGTTTTTTAGTAGTGATTTGATAGGATTCTTAAACTTTTACTTACTTTCTAATCACATATTTTTCGAAAGCCAATGCTTATAAACAATTATAAGCTTTGAAAAACCTATACCAATCAGTATTTTGATTATTATTATTTTTTCAAATTAATTACCATGGAAAATTCATCTGCCATCTTATTTAATTTTTTTACACTTTTAGAAATCATTTCATCTCATCTGTATTATTTTTTGAATTATCAACGAAAATTTCCATTGGTAATTCGACCAGTAGTTTGAAGTATAGAAATTAAGAGATAATTTTTGTTTGTCCCTAATTATATTTTTATATTAAAATTTTAAATAAGATTCCAAAGAAATTTTTAAGATTGACTTTTTCATTGAACATTTTATATGTAATGTACGAGCCATATCTTCAATCAGATAAACTCTTTCGGTGCTAGCAGACGTTTTTTAATAAGTAATTTTAAAAAAACTATAGATTTTTACTTTTCAATAACTATTCATCTTCATAACATTAGATTACTTAAAAAAAAAGTATTTTCAAAATTGAATGGGGAATTAATTAATATGCAAGAAACTTTATAAGTTAGAGCTATATTAAATAGATGCAAGCAAACAATTCCTTTATTCAGATATATTTACAGATTACACAAAAAAGGAAGCACACAGTACAAAATTTCAAGTTGCAACAAGCAGCACACACTAGTATTAAACGATCTCCTACATAAGAGATCTCCATTTTGTTCAGCATTTAACACTTTGGCATGTCTGGAGGCGGACGAAGCATTTTAGCATCTCGGCTCTTGCCATTTTTAACAATGAATACCATTCCCATTCCCCAACTTATATGACGCTCAAAATGGCAATGCATCAACCACACTCCTGGATTATTTGCCTTGAATCTGATTGCTGTCCAACCATTTTTTGGAACTGCAATTGTTTCCATTAGAGGAGGGTCCGCGAGATTATAATGTTTAGGGTCTTCGTCTTTATCAAAGTTTCCGATTCCCCATCCAACTACGTAAAAGCTATGTCCATGTAAGTGCATGGGATGATCTATCCCTGCAACTGTGTTTGTTCCTTGGAAGACAAGCTCCACCTCAGAATTGTGGTCAAGAACAACTACATCTGTCCCATTTCGAGGTATCCACAGGTCTTGAGGGACCAAATCTTGAGTATAATTGAATTGAAATGGTGGATTTTTCGGGAAGTCATTTCCATAAACACCTTTGATATGCTCGTAATAAGCTTGAAGAATGTCGACTCTTGGTAGCTGAAAGGTTATGTTATTCACACTTGCTGAAAGACGGTTGTTGAAAGGTCCTTCACATGAACCATTGGCGCAAGGGATTACATTAATGGAAAGGGTAAAGAACAATTTAGTTCTCACTTTTAAAGGAACATCAATAGGATATTTCTTATTTGCTAAACTTTTCAGCTGTCCAGTGAAATTAACTGAAGCACCTGTATCATTGAAATCAGGAAAAGTTGGGAGTAATGGTGATGCTGGTGGAGTATAATTCCCTCGATACTCAACAATAGCTGTTGTAGTCGTGTTGTCATAAACGCCTGCACTGGCATAAACCCTTGAAGCCATGTAGTAATGGCCAGGTTTCTGGTTAGCTTTTAACAAGAAATCAATGGTTTGGCCCGGAGAGATGGTAATATAATCACTATTTATGGGCTTAGTATAGCTCGCATCTGATCCAACAACAGTTATATTGTGGTTTGCAATTTTAAAGAACATAATGTTGTTCATGACGGCATTAATCATTCGGAGCAAATACGTCTTTCCGTAATCCACTGTCAACTTGAATGTATCTGCAATTGTGTAAGCCAAAAGAGTTTGTTAATTTGATGCTTATCATTTTGACATAGGATGGGCAATTATTTTAAGCATAAGCCCTGCCAAAAATGTTACATAAGAATTCAATTCTATTTCTTTAATATGACTTTACAAATATTTAATATCGGTTGAGTTGTGGTGCCGGCGAAGTAAGGTTGGCATATTGCTCTACTTTGTACTAATTTTTTCTATTAATATATGAGGTAGTGGACAAAGCAAAACTTCACNACGAGCCCCGATTGACATACCTAGGCTCGAGAGACATATCGCAACGGTTCAACATGATTCAATTGGCAAACGATGAACTTATATTGTCGAACTATGTGACCGCGTAGTTTCTTCAACCTGAGATCTTTATTATTTTTGTTAAAACTCTATTTTTATGATAACTTTGTAATCTTTTATACTATATTTCCGTTTCAAGTAGGGATTTATGCGTTTCCTACATATAGATTTCATTATTCTACATTGTAAACAACTTTCATTCATATCAATTAAGAGATAAATTTTGTGAGCATATTTTACTTTCAATTTATTGTTTTTTATTGAACAAATTTCGTACTTATCAAGAATTATTCCTTATGGCGTTCAAATAAATCGGGTGAGATTCGTGAGTTTTGTAATCAAGAGGTCAACAATTGTGTTGATCACTTGGGTTCAATGTTTTTGAATCAAACTCAAATTTTTTATTTATTGGTTTTTTTTGGGTTCGATTCAATCTCTTGTGGATTTCGTAGCTACTATTATTATGTAGGTTCACATCAATTTTGTTTATGATAAAGGAGCTTAATTCATAATAAAATGGAGGGAGAGTCAAGGGCGACCTGTAGGATCAATTGACCCCCCAGTGTCTGACTTTTTTTTTCTTTAGAATGTCTAAGTATAAAACATATACTATAAATATCTTATGCAACCAGCTACTTCAAACTCAACTTTGTGCCTTTGTTTCTCTCTCTTTCAATCTGCCGACTACGGACTATTATTTCCATTAACGGTTTAAACCGTTTGAAAGTTTGATTATGACCCTTTAACCGAAAATGTTTGGGTCCGCCCTTGGGGAGAGTGGCATAGTGTCACCTTTCTACCCACCTATGGAAAGTGTCAATGTGCTGGAAAGAAGAAAAAACAATTAAAAAGTTTATGTATAGCTTGAAAAAGTAAATTCAAATTTTACTTTTGTGTCCTCAATTGTTATTCGTATCTGTATCTTCTCTAACTTTTGGTAAAAGCTGCGAACATTTCAAGTTCATATTCGTATTCAGCATGAAAAATTCAGTGGATTAGGCTTTTAAATCACTAGAAAAGCTGGAGAAAATGAGGAGTTTTGATTTAATTCAGAAACGATATTCATATCATATTCGATTGACAAATGAAGTTATAGATAACATTGTTAAATTTGTGTCCTGCCCACAATGTACGGGAGGTTATTGTACCCATAGCTGACGTGACAATGTGTCAAGGACCGCAGCTTTACTTAGCCCCTTGACACTATCGCAGCCGCAGTTTGCCCAACTTCGGCCGCACATTGTAAATATTACTTCAAGTTTGAGTTGTAATTTTCGTTTCATTGTAATAGTTATTTTAATTGTAAAATAGCTCTGATATTGGTAAAAGATTAGTATGATTCCTCGTCTTTTAAACGTCTACTCCCGTCACTTGGGTTTTTGTTCAGAATGCTATTATAGGGGGTATTAGTCATTCAAAAATCTTTCAAGCTCACTGGTGTCCGCCCCCTGCACCAGCATTTGTAATTTTCTGCTTTCATCAATTGTAATGTTCAGTTTTCAGCAATCAATGTTCAATTTACTTTCAATGTATTCAAATTCTCAATTGTAAGCTTTCTATAAAATTGCAATCAAATTTTCTTTCGTCCCGACGCGACCGAGAAAAGGCGGAAGGTAGTCTAGCGGAGCAGACTACTGCCGCACGGTGTCCCTTTCTGTGCCAAGAAGAAAGGCACCCCGTGAAACAATGCCATGCCAATGAAGCATTAATTGTTAACAATTCAACAAAAATTATTGAATTGTCAACAATGACGGCTTAACTTCTTGATATGATAATGTCACATCAATTGTGGACACATTTTATCTTGTTCACCGTGGATGAGAGGACAATTCTGTTTTACCATATGTGCTAATGTAAAATATAGACGAGAAAACTTCGTAATATCGAGTTCGGCATAGAAGACTATGCCTATGTTTGGTAGAAAAAAGCTTTTAACTAATATTTAACCAATTGAACATATAATTACTGTTAAAACAAAATATTAGAAGAATAAAAGAGTCATAATTTTTTACTTGAAAGATTTTTCCATCTTTTTGCTGACTTAGTACATATAATATAATGTAAGGAAAACTTACACGTTTGCAAGTTATTGCGTCAACCCAAGGGTTCCCCTTCGTTTAAAAAAAAATAAAAATAAAAATTACACGTTGGTTTGAGGTCATAAAAGTTGAGCCTGGAAACCATAATTAATTTAGATTATTAAAAATGTCTTTTTCAAAAAGTAGATTTTTCTAAATTAAATGAATGCTTATTAATTAATTTCTTAATTAAGCAGACATTTGGATAATTACGTATATCATGTAAGTGGTTAAGTTGAATAGATTTATGATTTATGAATTTGTCAAATGAGTTTGGTAATATTAAATTTGGTTTAATCTTAATTGTCAATGTTAATTTTATTTCGATCCTATAAAAAATGGTTTATAGTTATTATGTCGTTCACGTTGGTTGATTGAATGATCTTCACTTAAGATGTGTTTAATACGGAATATCATAGAAGATTGAATATACGACTCAATTCAGTTCATCGCCACATCTACAGTTACATGGTGAAGCGAGCGTCGAACAATTTAGTTATTACTTTAATATTGGATTGATTACACGGCACATTTTTTTTTTATTGTGGAGTCACCGTCTCTACTTCTAATGAGAGTTGAGCAAGCAAGATAATCACTATAATAAATTCAAGTTGGTTATTTGAATCATATTTTGTTATTACGATAAGTTCTATGCTATACATCTATATCTCCAAAGCTGTTATTTAATTTTGAAGTGTGACAATTGAAATCAATATTATAAATAATTAAAAGTCACTACTTATGTTACGGTTATACCTTTATTTTATTTCCACTTCAAGCTCATATATTTAATTGCTTCCACAGGTCCCTAGTTCTTCAATATTTTCAATTTGTCTACTTGTCACTTTAGTCCCTCTACTTTAAACTCCCACTCATTAGTTCAAGAATTTATCAAAATCTTGGAAAAAAAAAATATCGCGTGATATATTTTCTTGATTGATCCAAACCAGCGATCTAACCAAATTCAAGGCAATCTACCTCTGATAAGATAAAGCTCTTCACTAAAAGATATTTCTATGAACTGTTCTATCGACGTATTAATCTAAATGGGTTTGACACAAGAATAAAATAGTAGAATCGTTGATAAGTTTCCATACAAACGAATTACAATTTAAAACTCCAGAAATGTAATGGAAGAATTTTTTATTTTTCTTATTAAAGGACAAAATCGAGAGTTTTTAGGAACCTTAAGGACTCTAAAAAAATAAATTATCCCTAATTCATGAGTGGGATAGTTTTTTGTAACACCCTAAACGTGTCTTGATACTACGTAACAAACATAATCATATGGCTACGGATGGTTTTTTTTTTTTTTTTTTTTTTTTTTTTCAAATATCATGAAACTAATTATATAATACAAGTTTCTAAACTTGAAATGAAACATCATACACCTTATCTTTACGGTTGGAAAAACCACCATCCTAAGAGTAGAAGCAAATAAATAAAATTTCCTACTTCTAAGATCATCCCATTTTACGTAGAAGCAACCCCCACCACTCCTATAAATCCCATAAACTTCTTTCATTAATCCACTGCACAAACGCAAAATCCAAATATTTTGCACACATACACCAAAAAATGTCTAATTCTAACCAAACAATGTCAGTAAAAGCATTATCAGGCATTGGCAACCTCATTAAACTCCTTCCAACAGGAACAGTTTTCATGTTTCAATTCCTTAATCCTGTCTTAACCAACAATGGCCAATGCCACACCATAAATAAGTACTTATCCGGCGTACTTATCGCGGTTTCTGCATTTTCGTGTTGCTTTGCATCATTTACTGATAGCTATGAAGATAGTGAAGGAACCAATCATTATGGCATTGCAACAAATAAGGGCCTATGGCCTAATTCATCCTCACAGGACTTGTCTTCTTATAGGCTTAGATTTGGGGACTTTGTTCATGCTTTCTTTTCACTTATTGTATTTGCTGTTGTGGCTTTGTTAGACCCTAATACTGTGGAATGTTTCTATCCATCTTTTGAGTCTGCTCAGAAGGTTCTTCTCATGGCGTTGCCACCAGTTATTGGGGCGATCTCTGGCTCGATATTCGTGATATTTCCAAACACTCGCCATGGCATAGGGTACCCTTCCAGCCAGAGTTCGAGTACGAGTTCAAGTTCTGCTAAATCTTAGCCACATGGAAAGAGTTTGATATGAAAAATAAGTGCTTGAATGTTTGTCTTATTTTTTATATTTTTAATTTGTGCATGGAGGTTTTACCTCTTTAAAAGTATGAATTATGAATTATATGTTGTGATATGCATTAAATGATTTCTTGGAAGTTAAATAAATCTAAACTGGCATCGTGCTTTCAAAAGAATTTATTTGTCATTTTCCATTCCTTTCCAGTTTCGGAAAGACCACTAATTTCTATAATCTAAGAAAAAGTCGTCGTAAATGTTTTTCAAAGCTTATTATTACTTTGAAGTCGGGCTACTCTATTTTTGTCCACACATTTCGAAATCCCACAACTTATAATCTAATAAAAGCTTTGCCAAACATGTTCAACCTATTAGGGAAAAAATGAATTTTTGAATAGTGTATTGATATGAAATCTTTGGTTAAAAAATAAGGAAAAATTTTGGATTTGCGTGTAATATTATTTTATTGAAAAATGTGTAGTTGAAATTATGTTAAAACACTATTGAAGAATTCATTTTCTCCCAGGAATGGGGATCAAACATATAAATAGAGTTACGTAGAACCATTTCTTCCACCTCGAAGGATGGAGCGTCTAGCTCTTATCGTGAAGCTTTAGAAGAGTAACTCCTATGTAGAGAGTGTCGATGATGAGTATCGGTGTCAAAATGGCAGGTAGCTCAACCTAGCCTGCCAAATTAGACGCCACATTCAGCCGTAAATTGGAGTGAACAAGACTGGTTTAAGCCTAGACCGCACTCTCTTTTAACTTTTGGGACCTGACTGCCCTATGACCCCTCACAATCGCAGTCGGTCCAGACCATCCAGGTCGACTTCGGACCGGTTTTTCTACAAAAGACTAACTGATTTTGTGAAATAATTTAAAAACATTAAGAACACATGGTAAAGGCGGTCTACATTAATCAAAGAGCCATTAGTTATGTCCTGGCTATCGCTCGCAACAAGGCATGGCAAACTAGGATTGAATCGATTGATAGGATTGCAAGTCCATGATACGCTAGAATTGGACCTTGTTCTATTCTATTCCTCTTTCACTAAAGAAATAGCAGTATGGGTAAAGCTATTATCGTTGAAACACCTTCACGGAAGACTGCAAGGGTACTCAATTATTATAATTCAATGACATTGTATCAAGACTTGATATTTGATTTTAAAAGATTAATCTTGTTACAAGGAATAACCCAATTTATTCTATTTTTATTCGATGTGGAACTATTCCTTAACAATTCTGCCCATCTCTCCAATCTCAGCAGAATTTTCTTTCTTGATTGTGTATTTCAAAAAAAAAAAAAACTATGGAAAATGCCATCTCAAGAAGTTACTTACTGCCTTTGGCTCCCACCATTTGTAATGATGAATGTACACCTTTTTAGTTTTCAATAATGGTTAGACTTACAGCCTATTTTAATATGAGTTAATGACCCATATCATTAAATATTACATTTAATATTTTAAACCCAAATCAAACCCAAATCAAATTCAATTAATTCCAACAAAACTGGCCTAGGAAGGATTCGTCTAAATCTTTCGCTATAATAATGCCTTCCGTCAGTATGAGTGAACGTGTTTCCCAGCTCCCGGTCTATCTAAACAACAATGGTTCTAATAAATTCAGCCTTGTCATGGCTGGTTTGGGTTAAAATTAATAAAGGTGGGTAGAAATGGCTGCAGTAGATTCTTCTGACCAGAATTAGTGCTTTAAATTGACTCCTTTCTATCCGTCCTGCCCTTTTTTCAGTCGAGCGCCAAACAAAACCTGTGCTGACCAGGAAGCCCTTTCCAGCGAAAGTACTATAAGAAAAATTTTTAGTCTTCATGTATGAAAACTTAGATGAGAACAAAAGGAGAAAAACTGAATATTTTGGTTTCGAAGGCACTAGATACAAGGAAAACTCAGACCGTGGGGATTCGATCAAGGCATAGAGTAACTAAGAGAACCATTCCATTAGGGCGAGACAAAATGGGCATTCTAGTTGGAAGAGAGGCTGTAGGAGTTTTCCCTACAGAGTGAATGGGAATGGGTTAGCATGGTGCAGCCTAGAAATGGTTCAAAAGGGAACAAGAAAAAAAACCTATCTTACAATTTTATTCAGTTGGTTTAACTCTGTAGGAGTCACGAATGCTATTAATATCTTCTACAGTAATAGTCCCTCGGGCTGGGAATGTAATGACAACAATGGCAATCCCCAATAGCACATTTTGCAGCTGCTACAGTTTGAATTATCCAAGAAAATCATTGGCCTTTGTATCATCCGAAGAAATGGAAAATACCAAAAAGTCCAGCCAATTGTACATAACTATCACATTGAATGTTGTAACTTATACCAAAGCAATCTACTCCTCAATACTGTATACAAGTCAAGGTATACTGTTCTTAATGTAAAAATCAGGTGTTTGGTTGCCAAATACCTCTTGAAGAACAGGATTTTGTAATTTTTACGACTCTTTGGTTCAGCTTCTTCTGTCTCTTTTCAATTCTTCGAGTATTATATGCTACTCTCATTACATCTACTTTAACTATGTGATGATCAGAAGTGCCTTTCGATGAAATCACCGAGTAGGATCCAGGCACGAATGTGTAGGGCAGGCCCTGTGAACCCAAAATGTAATCAACTCGAGTTCCATACTTGCATGTTCCCTGTACATCTGTCACAAAGAAACAAATACATTGGTGAGATTAATACCGAGAAAATTATACAAAATTGGATAATATAACATGTTTGGTAAAGTGGATTAGACCACAGTGGAAAGTATTAAAAAAGAAAAAGAAGCTAAAAATCCTAGTCATTGTAGTGTTCAGTATGAACTAATATTGCAAACCAAACTGACATGAGAAAAAGGTAATTTACTTTGGCCTCTGGCGATCATAACAACTGGTTCACATTCCCCTGGGAAATCTTTAGCATCTGTATACTCATTTTCCTTCAAGAATTTCATAACTTCAACTTTTGGCATCGGCTTTCCTAAATCCGCGTAATACTATTAGGATGAAAACACGAGATTTATAATTTCACTTTAAGTACTTGAAAAGGTCAGGTGGTTGAAGAATAGATATTAAAACGACTTTACATTTACAATGTCAGTCCACCTCTCTGATGAATAATCTGATGCATCAAGAGAGTTGATGCCTCCTGCTAAAATATGGGGATGATCATTTGACTGGATTATTGCGTTAATCTGTTTCATCCTCCAGTTTTCGTCTAAGTGGTCGAGTTGGGTGCAGTAGAAGTTTAGTTCCCCTGTCCATGGCACATCGATTGTAGCTTTTATCACATTCCTTCATGAAAGAACAGAAATTTATAGCAAGTCAGGCTATTGAACGCGGGGTCAGAAATAAATAGCAAATGAAAGCATTACAGAACCTATCCTGAGAACAATGCTTTAAAGGTCAAGATGAATGTAACGAAAATGAAGATAGGTAGAATGGACGTGTGGTCATTCTAAAATGGATAAGATAAGAAATGAGAGTATGAGCAAACAAACAGAGGTGGCATTGGTTGAGGATGAATTAAGGGAATGACGACCTGGGTGGTTGGACTCAATTTTAGTATCGACCTAAAGAAGCTCTCTTTCATAAGAATGGGGGGACTTCGGTTGAGCAAATTAGAAGAGGAAGGGGTACTTCAAATTTAAGATGGAAAAATTTACTTACTAATGACCTAGTAGCTTTGAATCTCCCTGTACATCAATCGATAATTATAAAAAAATCATGAAGGGTTGATGTAGCCGACTCTAAATCTATTGAGAATAAGAATTTGTTGTTATTGTTGTATCAGTGTTTGCAAGTGGGCACATAAATATGTAAGCTGGAGCTCTAGGTTAGGAATGATTTCTACACTCGTGCTAGTTTGAATGTGATAAGTGAAACATACTAAATATAACCTTCAAGGATACTGGAAAATTTGTTAAAAATCACCTGAAATCTTTATCATCGTAGATTTTTTGAACCTTCCACTTCTTAATAGGCCATTTTGAAAGAACAGCATTTCCATACTCAGGAGCCCAGCTCTCAGCAAACACATAATTCATCCCCAGTGCACGAGCCAAATCGGATAACGGCTTCATATCCTTTTCTTCCTCAGCCTTTACATCCTGTAAAGACAAAATATCAGCATCCACTTCTTTAAGCACATCAAATATGGTTCGACTTCCATATAAACTCGCATCTTTGATCCAGTTTGCCATGCTCGCAGGGAAGCATATGGGAGATCTCACAGGAGCCAGGCTGTTGAAACTAAAGTTTGTCGATGAATCCTCAATAACGTTAATAACCTTATTTTGAGATAATGATATCTCATTCTCTGGAAGATTTATTGAGACTTTTGCTCTTGGTTTAGTAAGCTTGTTCTCACCTTCAGAACCATTGATCATTGGATGAAGTGGAGATTGTTTGAGTATGCCCTTGGGACGGCCATTCACGGACTTCAACTGATTCTCAAATGTCAAACAGTCCTCTTCATGACTGAAAACAACTGATTTCTCGGCCTTAGGAATAGCAGGTGCAAGGGAGAATAAGGCAGCATTGAAAGTAGCGAGTCGAATAGGCCTCTGTAAAGAGGTACCATTCACTTTGCCAATATCCTTTCGGGTTGCTGATCTTTCTCTAATCTGTCCTTTTGAATTCAGATTCCCTAGCCTTCTGATTACAAGTTTAGGCCTAGGACGACGCCATATTAGCCGCCGTATCTTAGAGCAAAGGCGCTGAAATCTCCGGCTAAGAACATACAACATCTGTCTGGTGTGTGAAAGTTGTAAATGCTCTCTTGATGACATGACACAGACCGTGATTAGCTTCAAAATTCTAATAAAAATGAGTGATCCTTCTTTCCTGCTGGCCCTTGAAAAGGAATATATAAAGAGATGGGGTTTACAAATATGTTGACAAATATAACTTATAGACAAAAGAAAAATCCCAACTGCTCCAAAGACTGAGGTGGAGATTGACTATGGAGAGCATTATTGTTCACCTTCTTTTTCGTGGTAACATAACACACCAACTCCCACCTATAAAAGCAAGACTTTTCATTATCCGTATAGGAATTAGAGGTATCAATCGGGCTACCCCGCGAGGGTATTGGTCCCCTACAGCCGGGTCCAACAATATCCGGCTCTAGGGGTGGTGCAGCCTACGTAGCTGAGCCATGCTGGGTGGCCGGCACATTTTGATACCTTTCTAATGGAATCCAGAATATAGAGCCTGGGATAGAAGCAACCGAGAAGTTTCAATACTATAATAGTACAATAAATGTCCTCATAAAATTGTTTATTTCTGAGAATGGAACAGTGGAACCTCATAAATTAAATCAAGGAAATGCTGACTATGTATGAAACTGTAGATGGTCGTGCAAAATATTATTCTTTTAACAAAATCCCGAGTGTAAAGGGAGCTAAGAGAAGGTAGCCACCTAATTGAGAAAGGGAATGGTTAAGTTTTAACTCCAGTCTCCAGCTAGATGTTTGGTCGTAAAGTTAGCTGGGCGAATATGGCAAGGCTGGCATTTTTGCTATCAGTCCCTGTGCAAGGCCAGGTTCCAACAGTTCCTTTAATTTCTTTGCTAGATATTCTCAAACGTTTAAAATAAAACAAAGAAAAGGAAATGGGTTTGGAAAGCCAAGTCGCTGGCTTGGTCCAGTTTTACACCTCTAACTGGAGTACGTTTTAACCGATCAAAAGCATCGGATTCTTTTTTCGTACACTTTTCCTGTTTTGATGTTCACTTCCCTCAAATTAATTTTAAATAGAAGATGATTGAGAAGAGCATTCCATTCTCCACACACACACACTAGTATAATATTACTAATTTCATCAAACGATAATGGTGTTTGGTGTAGGATAATTGTTCTTTGTCAATAATAAGATTGATTGATTGATTGATTGATTGCAGATATCATACATGTTCAATCCTTGGCCTTATAAGAATTTGGTGACTAGGCTCTCAAGAAAGCTTGTTGGATGGTACTAGTTGGTTTCAATGTCCAAACCAATCCCAAGTCAAAAAGAAACTTGTGGTGTGTGCGAGCGAGAGGACGAAGATTAGCATGGATAATTAACCCTGTTCTGAACTTCGACCCAGAAATCAACTCAAAACAGCGATAAGACGGGCTTTCACGACACTGCTAATTAGAAAGCATGTACATCACATGACACGATGATGAGATAACAATCAGAAATATTGTCTCAACTGTTAAATTATGAAAATAATATAATGAACAAATAATTGAGATTTCTACACCAAATGCCAATAGACAGATCCCTCAAACAAAAGGTCAAACGATGCTTACCTACTGAACAGTATTAATCTAATTAGCATTCAAGCACCATCTTCATGCATAACTAATTGCAGCAACTGGTAATTGTTTAACTACTTTTGACACCTTCAATGATGAAAAAGAATTTGTCGGAAAAAACAAGGATGAATTCAGATCACAAACTGAACACAAACATTAATATATTGATAACTGTTGGCTAAATTATGATAAGTATACACCAATTTATGTGCTTACACAGAAGCAATTAACGTATTACATTGTCATTTCATCTTATGTGAAGTGGACTATGATTTTGAACTGAAGTTTGTTGGTTCTTGCTTCTACAGTGATCATAGCAGCAACATGCTGATAAAAAATCCACATAGCATTTGCCGTAGAAGTAACGTACCAAACCAAGTAAATTTCTAATTCTCTCTTCACTATGAATCAAACAATGCATCCAAAAGATTAGGAGCAGCTTCATCTTTTCCACTCTCATCGAAAAATCCATTTGCAGCATTTTCCCTTTTTAATTTTCGCTCCTCAATGACAGATGCTGCTGTTTCCGTGCAATAATTTCTCCTTGTCTGATTAACAGGTTTTTCAGCCACAAGAAACTTGTTTCCTTCACGGGACCTCTCGGAGAATCCTGCCCAAACTGAAACAAAGTTTGCTAAAATCAAACTGATCACCATAAACAGCAACAATATCAAGTAAAGTAAGTACAAAACCTATATTATCCACCTCATATCTATTTGACCAAATCACTAGCTCTTGTTAAGGTCTATGTAAGGATTTATACAGGAATATATGTACTTGCGCTTCTGTTAATTATATGTCTCAACTCTTGCATAGGAATACTGACGCCTCCAAACTACAACATCCAACTATATTAGATAACACCTTACTAAATGTTGCTATATTAGAAGAACTACATTGGCATGAAATCAAAGCACTGAAAGATTTCTAGGACCAAAATCTAATTAAATGCTTTCTCTTGCTACTAGTTTTGATCAATACAGTTAGTAATTTAGTAGATTGTTCATTGATCAAACCTTTATCAAATTTCTAGGTAAACTCAATACAGATGACTGGTAGATCTAGAAGGTCCCGTGGGATTCAGTAGGAATATGCTAGTAATTTATTCATACAGAGAACCAGGAGTATAAGTAGAATTAAAAGCCTGGTCGATGAGTTTGAAGCACATCACAATTTTACCACACCTCCAAAATGATGTAAGACGATGGAAGCTGCAACAGTAACGTTAAGAGAGGCAGTGCCACCCCCAAATTGTGGAATATAAACAAAGAAGTCACATATCTCACACTCCTTTGCAGAAAGCCCAGTTCCCTAAGACACAAAATAAAAACATTATGTAATTCCTGTGAAGAAACCAGTTGACAATTAGCAACATCAAGTATAAATTATTGCTTCTCCGAGAGTAAAAAAAAAAAAAAAAAAGGAAATGTGAATGTCTTAAAGTTGTCTCATTTGAAATAGATACTTGAAGTTTGAAGAAGAAGTAAGAACTTTCATACTAAGATGGGTCCATGACCTAATGGCTTTAGCTTTTAAGCTCAGGCCTGTATATTGGGCTTCATTCTCCTTGTCTGCCACCAAAGAATTGGCATTAGAGCCATGGTTTGATCCGGAATCAGTCTTCAAACATTTGCTGTGTATCCTTCTTGGTGTTTGATCATATTTATCTTTTCAGGATTTGTTGATGAATTCTATATTGTTCGTTTCCAAAGTTCGTTGTTCTTCACTTCTCCCAGGTTCAGTTGCATCTGTCAGAGTTCATCATGATGTTGAAGCTCTTGTTCAAGAGAAGAGTGCTGGACTTGGCTTGAAGAGAAAAATTCACATATAAGGGGGAACTGCAGGCAGACTTAGCAAGACCACACATGATGGGGGATCTTCCAAGATCACCGGTGCTTTAGTGTTGTTACGAGCTGAATAGAGTTGAAAATTGAACAACTAATATACTAGAACAGGCCCAAAGCCTAATTGCTCAAACTTTTCCAACAAGTTGGGTTCAAAATGGATGGGCTTGGTTCTCCTCGATTGTTGACTAAAACACCCGCATAAAAATGCTTCCACCACTTAACATTATTGGATTTATTAACAAGAATTTGAGTACTTTTTTTGATACAGTAGTAAGATAAGATCTAGAGCAGCAGAATATTTTCATTATATTACAAGACAAAGAGCGTTCATAATAAACAATGCAATCTCTTCATTTATTAATAAATTTTCAACCTCACCTAATCACCAAAAATAAAGTCAATTTAAATTTTGGAAACAGAAGGAAATGGTAATCAGTATACTGTATCCTACCTCATTGCCGAGAAGGAAGGCAGTGCTCTTCCTGAAAGGATGCTCATTTACTGCAACTGCATTATCTGTGATCTCCACACCACATATATCGCAGTCCCTCTCCTAATCAATGCAAACATTGCAAAAATCGAAAAAAGTGAACTTCAGAGAAAAAACCTGCAAGATTCTATCTCATTCTGCAAAGTAAAATTACACAATCAACTATTGTTTCCGAAAAGAATTAACATCATATCACACCCATAAAACTTTTCGATCCACCATTGGTTTTGCAATTTTTATTTTTTTCACAAAGCATCTAAAAATATTGAATAACTTAGCCAATAAAAATAAAAAATGGTATCTTGTCATATGGAACCTCAAAATGTAACACATGAAACTCAGAAAACGTTTATTATAAGGGAAAAGTCATTCAAACAGGCAATTCATTATTTTCAACCGGAGAATTCACTTTTTATCATCACATTCTTGTTACCATCTCAAAGTCCATAACTCACAGGTCAAAATCGAAAATATATTGAAGGGATAAAATTTCATTTATCCCTAACACTGTGCAAGTGTATGTATAATTAACAAATTAAAAAGTGTGAATCTCTTTCCAACGCGTAACAAACACAGATATACTCTTACACATATAATCAAAAAGGTAGTGTGGGGGTAAAGGAGCACCTTCAAGAAGGAGGACGCAAGGGAAAGGGAGTGAAAGTGGCGAAAGCGTAAGTGAGAAGTGGATCCATGGCTGCCGAAGGCGTTGAAGTCGCGGCGGCCAACGAGAATCAGCTCCGACACCCCGAAGGCGGTGGCGCTACGTGCCAATGTCCCCACGTTGTGCCTCTTGGCTATGTTGTGCACCACCACGTAGCTCTCATAGTTCTTCTTCTCCCCGTTTTCCATATGTAAACTTTAATAGGTGATTGCTTGAGGCGGAGGCGGCGGCGGCGGCGGAGGCGGAGGCGATTTTAGGGGCACTGGATATGGCTTTTGTTGCGAAACTTGATTCTACAGAGTAGTAGGAGAATGCAATTGATGCTTGTGAATAGTTTGAGGATGAAATTGATGACAGAGTATAGTTGGAGGATGCAATATAAGCTAATGAATAGTTAGAGGATGTAATTGATGATAGTGAAAAGTTGGAGGATGAGTTTGATGCTGTAAATAGTGAGAGGACTCAATTGATGTTTGAAAATAGTTGAAGGATTAAATTGATAACAAGAAAAGTTGGAGGATGAATTTGATGCTATAGAGTAGTTGGAGGATGAAATTGACCATATCAAAAAGTTGGAGGTTCAACTTGATACTATTGAAAAGGGTGAATTCAATTGATTGTAGTTGATATATTGATGATGAAATTGATGGTACTGAAAAATTGGAGGATTTAATTGACGCCAGTGAATACTTGAAGGATTCAATTGATATGTATAAAATTAGAGGTTCAATTTGATGCTACAAAATAGTCGAAGGATTAAATTAGAGATACATAATAGTAGGCGGATGAAATTGATGATACTGAAAAGTTAGAGTATGAATTTCATGATAGATGATAGTTGGAGAACGTAATTGAAACATACTAATAGTTGGAGGATGAAATTGATGCTAGAGAATATTTTGAGGATGAAATTGATGAAATTGAAAAGTAAGAGGATGAATTTCGTGTTAGACTATTAGTTGGGGGCTTCCAGGCGGGGGCGTGATGCAGAATGCTTGGCCTTCTGCGCCAGAAGCGACACCCGAAGGTCAGGGACGGTCAGACCGAGGATTACCCGCGATTGGTAATGGCACAACCAGAAGAGGAGTAGGAGAGACAAGGTTATGCGCTGGCTAGCGCAGCGCATTTGTTTCGGGTACAGAGGCGACGAGGAGTGCTAACCCGGCCACCTAACCCAACAGGTCAAGGGCGGGCCGACCGTAGGTTCGAATCCTGCCACCTTGTATAGGTTCGATTACTGGATACGAGATTCTCGTAGTAGGCTAGATCATCATCCACCCGAGAGAGGGCAGTCTTTAGAAACAACAGGGTGTATGTATCCCAGGTGAGCCAAGAGGTTCAGAGAGTGGGAGTAGATCAGAGAACGCTTCGCCTTTTCTTATCTTCTTCTCGCCCTAGGAGTAGAAGTAGCACAAAAGGACGGATTAGCATTATTGACCTAATGATAAACTAGGAAGATTCCCCCAACTCTCTCTTTGATAGAATAGGTTATGCATGGTAAAAAGAAGGAAAGGACGCTGTGAGGTGGATTGGACAAAGAGATCTTCCTCTTCCTTATTGCACATCGCCGCAGTCTAATTGCGGTTTGACTAGGCACGGTGAGAAGCTGCCCAGTCAGCGCAACTAAAGCAAAGTAGACGGTACACGTAACCAACCCAGCCGAGCCGCCAGTCCTCACAGCCTACTGTAGCCACCTCCGATGGGGGCATCACCTTAAGCCTACCATTCTCAACTTGAACTATTTTCTTGGCATTGAGGTACTCAAGACAAGAATGATCGTGGACTGTTTTTAACACAGCAAAAATATACTTTTGAACACCATCCCATTTTAACCAAAAATACAACCCTTTCAAAGATATCTAACCTTCCTTATGAGTGGAAATCCAATCTCGTGTTGTCTTTTTACTTTTAAATTTTTTTGCATAAAAAGTAGCTATATATATATATATATATATATATATATATATATAATGGAGGTTTCAATCTGACGGATCAACCATAATTAGAAGGTAAAAGGAGGCCTCGACGGAGATGATGGATGGGAACTACTACTCCGACTATAGTTGCGATCTCTAAGCGGGATTTTCAATCATCTATCTGATGCCATGAGAAGAGGAGTGGGCAATCGAGATAGAAGTCGATCACCCAAACCTGCGGATCGTCGCCAAACTGTGACCCCGATCTTGCAGATATTTAGATTTAAACTCATGACTGGCAGATAATAGTTTGAGGATGAAATTGAGGATGAATTTCGTGCTAGACAATAGTTGGACGATGAAATTCGTGCCAGATAATAGATTGAAGATGAAATTGATGAAACTGAAAAGTAAGAGGATGAATTTCGTGCTAGACAATAGTTGGAGGATGCAATTACAACCAGATATTAGTTAGAGGATGAAATTGTTGCCAGATAATAGTTTGAGAATGAAATTGATGATACTGAAAAGTTAGAGGATGAATTTCGTGCTAGACAATAGTTGGAGGATGCAATTACAACCAGATATTAGTTAGAGGATGAAATTGTTGCCAGATAATAGTTTGAGAATGAAATTGATGATACTGAAAAGTTAGAGGATGAATTTCGTGCTAGACAATAGTTGGAGGATGCAATTGATACCAAATAATAGTTTGAGATAATAGTTTGAGGATGAAATTGATGATACTGAAAAGTTAGTGGATCAATTTCGTGCTAGACAATAGTTGGAGGATAAAATTGATCATAATAAAAGTTGGAGGATGTAGTTGATCCTTTGAATAGTTGTAGGACGAAAATCATGCTAGTGAATAGTTGGAGGATGAAATGATGTAATGAATAGTTCGAGGATGACATTGACCTTAAGGAAAAGATGGAAGATGTAATTGATGCTAGTGAATAGTTGGAGGATGAATTTGATGCTATTGAATAGTTGGAGGATTTAAAAGAAGATAGTAAAAAGCTGAAAGATTCAATTGATTCTATAGATTAGTTGGAGGATAAATTTGTTTCTATAGAATAGTTAGAGGATTGAATTGAGGCTATTAAATAGTGGGAGGATGAAATCTAATATATTTTATAGTTGGAGGATGTAATTAATGCTTGTGAATAGTTGTAGGATGAAATTGATGCTATTGAATTGTTTGATGATGAAATAGAATCCACTCAAATAGTTGGAGGTTGAAGTTAACTCTAGGTTCAAGTTTATCCTTCAATTATTAATTAGAGTTAACTAAGTCCTTCACCTAATCAGTAGAATGTATTTGTTTTCTAACAATTAATAATATCAATTTCGTCCCATAAATTTTTGAATCAAATGCATCCTCCGGTGATTGGCAAGATCGTCCTCCAACTACTAAAGGCGTCCAATTTGACCTCCAAATTTCCTTAGCACTAATTCCGTCCTCCAACTATTGATTAGCTTTAAAGTCATCCTTTAACTACTGATTAGAGTCAATTTAGTCCCCCCACTATTTTCTAGTTCCAATTTTCCTCCATCTTTTCACTAGTTTCCAATTCATCCTCCATAATTTACTAGTTTTATTTATGTCCTCAAACTATTACTTAGCTTTCAATTCGTCCTCCATCTTTCATTAGCAACAATTGCATCCTCTAACTATTTTCTATAGCGCAATTCATCCTCTAACTGTTCTCTAGTGTCCAATTTGTCCTCCATCTTTTTACCAACATGATTTGCATCCTCCAATTATTCTATATCATCAAAGTCATCCACCAATATCGAATTATTTTCTTGAATTTCAACAACTCGAACCGTCTTACCGTCGGATGCGGGTTCTGCTTGGCTTGCCAATCAACAGTCTTACCGTCGGAGCAGTGGCCAAGCTCTGGCGTCAGTTGGAACACCTGGACGGCGCAAAAAGCCGTTATTTACACGCGGCGCCTCCGACCATTGACTCAAGTCCTCAGTGGATCAAATACCCATTCCCATTTGTAGTTCCTGAGACCTAAATTTGTTCTAGCAGGTTTAGCACCAGAGGACTCAGCAGTAGCAGTGGTGGCGGGAGGGTTTCAATGGCATGGGGCGGTGATCATCAGAGGGGAGTGGGTTTTGGTTTGGGTTCACTGATGTTAACGGTCTAATGGATACGACCCTATAATTTGTTGATAAAAAAAGGGAAATAAATACCCAATTGCCTAACACTGGAACTACCCGGGGAAGAGTTGGGAACAGTGTCAAGGAGGAGCTCCAACTGGCACTTGTCTGTCCCTTCTATTCAGGATTGCTGCTGGGCACCTGAGGGTGGCTCTGCCTAAGATTCTTCTTACAGTTTCGTGCCTGTAACTAAAGGAAAATGCCTCCGGTCTCACATGGGGGGTGGACCCCACATATGGACCCCATGTGTGTGTACCGTACAGAGTCTGTGCAACAGACCCTGTGTAGGTAGCACAATTGTACTACCAATACATACAAGGATTGAATCCAATCGAAGATGGAAACCATTGCGTTCAAAAGGTGCAAAAAATCAGAACTACAATACTTAAAAGACTTTATTCTTTCCCCATAAATCAGGAGCCTTGTTTCGTTCTTTTCTATAATTATTAACTAAATATGTCATAGAAGTTATTGAATGCAGCATAGCTGTGACAGAACAGAGTTTCCCGTCAACATTTGATAGAGAATTCAAAGACTAGAGAGAGGGGTGTGTGTGTGTTATACAGGTCGGGTCAGGTCGGAGCGGAGAGATCTGTATAGCCTTTAGTCCACTTTTAATCTATCAAAAGCCAAAATGGGGAATTGAGTGTTAAGCGGGTCAAAGAGATCTGTGTACCCTTTAATCCGCCTTTCGATGCCGGTAATAGCATGCGTTCAACAACTTCTAATATATAAATCCGATTTTCAATTCATTATTTAGAGAGATGCAGCAGAGAACTCTGCAGGTTTAATTTCAAGAAATATCACCAATCCAATTAATATGGCCTCTTAATCAGAGACTTATATAGTATCTTGCAAAGGTCGTCAATTTATTCTGCCCATGAGCTCATTTCAGCGTGTCGAATTTTGAAAGATTCAGTTCGATTGTAGTCTAAAATAAATCAAAATGAATAGGTCAGTCAGATAAGTGAAAGTTGAGCCTACCTTTGCTTCGTCCTGTACGACTTTAGACTGATGTATCAACTTGCGTTTTTCAATAGCAACCTCCTCTTGGAACAGTCCTCTGCTTCTCCCGTGACTGAAACTTCATCAGTGTCTGCTTCTCCCTCTTTGATACCTCCAGGCAGCTTGCAGCTGAACCCGGAGCATGTAATTTTGCGGCTTCCATATCCTGCCGTAGTGCTGCATTCTCAATTTCAAGCCTATGAACAACAGCACTAGCTCCTTCTACCTGTCCACTAGCCTTAAACAATGCAGTCTCCATCTTAGATAGCCTTTTCCTAGTGTTTTCCTCCGAAGTTTGCTTCTCTTTCTTGTGCTGCTCCACTTCCTCTTTCTCTTGCCTAAATGTCTTGAGTTCTGCTTTGTCCTTGCCCAGTCTATGAGCAGCTTGCATGACTTTCTGATTTGCCCACTCCATCCACTCCTGGAGCTGATTTTGCATTCTCCGTACTCTTGAAACATTCTTCATAATCATTTCATCCTTTCCGTCATGTGGAGCCCACTATCCAACTGACTTTCCATTTGAGAGAATGGGCTTTGGATTGGAAATGCATTTGGTAGGGAATGAGAGAGAGCTCAGTATTGGCTAATGGTAAGGAATGAGAGGTGTTAAAAGGCACCACAGGCAATGAGGCGAGGATAATTGATTTAGGCGATAAAGAACTACCAGTGCCAATTGCCAATCCAAAATATTGGCAGTGAAGTGAAACCATGTTTGTTAAAAGACTGTTATTTATATTGTCTTCAGGCACATCAATGCGGACTGCCTTGCTAGTTTTAGCTGATGTATTTTTAACATATATACCTGTAGGAACTAATAGAGGTTTGAGTTTCTTATCCAAGACTAAACTCCAAATCCCGAGAGTTTCTCTGCTCGAGACGCCACTATAGAACCGCGATCACGGTAGTGTTCGAAGGAAATGGACTTTTGGTGCAATATGTATTCCCTTTTGGTTATCCCATTTACTTTTCTACTGCCTCCAAACTTCTCCTTCGCAATTGTAGTGTGGGATATTCCTGCTGCACCAAAGGTTTCATCACTAGCATTTGATATAGAGTTTTGACACTCTTTCTCCTGGACAAGTTCAGTAAGAATGAAAGAAGTTTTTGGTTTTGAGTTTGGACAATTTGCTACAATGGGTACTTCTGATGGAAAAGAATGCCTATCATGAACAGAAGCCACATTAGTTCGTTCAGATGGAAATTTTTGAGCATAAGCAAATGAAGGATTTGGTTTATAAGGAAGTGAATGGTTCAGAACCTTTGGTCTCAGTTCTTAACAGGGGTTGCACAATAGCGGAAGAATTCTTATTTGAAGTCACATCACTACCCAAAGGATCAACATCGATGGTACAAGCACGTGACACATTCATGTCACATATCAACAAGCACCACATTGTATCCACAGTACTGTAAAAGGGGCATAACCTCTCTTAGAGGACAAACCAAGTCTGCTAATATTAACTTCCCCAAAATAATGGTCCTTTGACAGATCAACGTCTTGGGCACTTCTAAGAAATGCAAGCGTATTATCCACAATATTAGATACTAAGTCTTTACGCACATGGCAAAGGCCAGGCCTCAAAATAGCCTCAATAGCAACTTCTTCAATGTAACCACTTGCAATTATTTTCTTTGTAGCGTTCTTGAAAATTGTATCCAAGTTGCTTAAAACAAGTTCTTCTAGTTGAGATTCAGTAAGATCACTCCAATCAGCATCATGGAGTTCCTCTAATGATGACTCTATCTCCTCTCTATGCCAGCTTGGTTCTACCTCCGAGGTCCCCATCGCACATGACAATACAAGGTCAAGTTTTGAAGCATCGCATGTATCATACCTGTCTGTATGCCCACTACTCGGGATAACCTCAAACCTTTCAGCCAAGAACTCAAAATCATTGAATTCATTGGGACGTAAAGGAACGGTCTTCTTTGGGTCGCCTAGTGGTGGATCGGCCCGGAATTTTCTCTCATTGGAGATCTTGGGGAAAAATGTGTTTTGAAATACTGATTTTTTGAAAAATGTGTAATTAAAAAAAGAGAAAATTTTTGAGTTTATTTATAATATCATTTTATAAAAAAATGTGTACTTGAAAATAATATCATTTTATAAAAGAATGTGTGTCTGAAAATTCATTTTGGAAACAATGCAGCCCAAACATGGGCAAGGTATTCATGAACGTTGAGAGCTTTACTTAACAAGAAACATGTTATATGTACAATTTTGATTGACAACTCATACTTAGCAACATTACATTCATCTATTTCAGAAATTGTTTTTTAAATCAATGATATGAATTTTGACAGCACCAACATTATCAAGCAGGATTGTACAAATAGCATAATTGACTTAACAAAATACCATAGTGGCATTGTTTTTAGAAAGAGTGCATTTCACATGACACCAAGAATACATAGGAAGAATGATGGTTTCCTCAACTAATGGACCTAGACCGAGCTTGTTTGTGTGTTTTTTATCCTTTAATGTTCGGACACAAGTAGTTTAACGGATCTCTACGTGAGCTTTACTCATTTCAATGCAACGTTATTCTTAAAACTTCGCAAAACAAAAGCATCCTCAGAGTTTTCAAAAGAAACTACGAGCTAGGGAAAAGAAGGATGGGAGATTTGGAGAAAATTCATAACTATGGCTTGAGAGTTGGACTCCATAATATTGTATGTTGTTTCTCTCTTGACATGGTTGAAAAGTTATGAATCAAAATGAAATATGTGATTAAAATTAATTGTTGACTTTGACTTGACATATTTATCAACTTTTAATCTACGCCAAACAAGGACTTAGTTGACAAACTCCTATATTCTTTTCATTACAGTACTTCAACAAGTTTGTCCAAAGTACCAAACATCTGTTTTTGCATACCGAAGTGTATTAACATTTCATGCTTTTACAATATATATTGATTTTTGAGTTGCTTGCAGTAGAGTACATGTCTAAGAATTAAATTCTCTCCCCTAACCAATTTTGGAATAAGCATAACTGTAAGACTTCGAATCAATTCTGAACCAGGATGAAACTTGGGATCCTTCATTGCTGATGCCATCCAGAGGACTCAACACATAGGATACAAGAAAAAGAAAACACAAAATAAGCATCAAACACAATCACTTATTTGTTGTAACACATACTAATATTTCAGAGTACGTAGGCAAAAACACACGACACAAGGTTTCATTTCTAGAATAACAACTGTGCGAAAAAGTTCACAGTGAAGCAGAGGTTTCCATGGGGACGAACTTGACTGAAACACTGTTGACACAGTGTCTTTCGTCTGTAGGTGTTTCGAACCCCTCACCTTTGAATACATGGCCCAAATGTCCACCACAAGCAGCACATGTGATTTCAATCCTCCTACCATCTGGATCAGGCTGAAATAAGTAATTTTCAAACGTAACATTAGAAGGACGTATATGGGATCGTCTATAAGAATGAAATTATTAACAAAATTTTATACTCACGGAGCGGTTAATGGCTCCTGGGAGACCCTCGAAGAAAGCTGGCCAACCACATCCAGAGTTAAATTTGGTGGTGGATTTGTACAGAGGAGTTCCGCAACCAGCACAGTTATAGATCCCATCATCATAAAACTTGTCATACTCTCCAGTGCCACGAGGCCTGTAAAAATTAAATTATCAGTGCATGTTTGGAATGCTGGGTAGGACACTACACTTGGACAAGATTTTAAGTTCATTTTCATCTTACTGTCAAATACTATAAACTTCACCTAACCAAAAAAGCAGCCGGTGTTTAACATATGTACGATTTAAAAGTGCGTATACATCCAAAAATTTCACTCTTACTATTACTCCAATCGCGTGTGCTCCCGACTAATAGACCATAAAGGGATGCATAAAAATTACAAGTTCCAAGTAAAGGACTATGTCCCGGTTGATTCCATGTTTTGCTTGTCAATTATCAAAATCTAAATACACTATTGTTAGTGAACAGTTTACCCTCTCAAACCTCTTTGAAGGTGAACTCCTCGAACAACTTATTTATGGCCATATCTCGTCATGTCAGTGTTCTCATTTGGGAATACAATCAGGATTTTGGATACATTTATTTGGTAAAAATACAATGTATCCAGGTGCAGTTTAATAACTATAGAATCAAACCATAGGAATCAGTACCAATATAATAATATTGATAATCAGTAATTTATCATATTAATCCAAAAAGTGTTGAATCTAGCAAACAATTCTAAATTACTTTAACTAGTTGGTTCATAAATGACACTGAAAACGTGTCATACAATAGAAAATCAAAGCAGTCTACTTTCTCAAACAGCCCCAGCGTTTCATCCCACCGCTTCAGAAAACAATGGTTTCTGTGTTCATGACACTGTCTTGAAATCTTATCTCTTGCCTAACAAACTATGCACATTTCATTTCTTTTCAATCTTTTCGCAGCATTACGAACTTGATGGGGAATTTTTATATGCTATATGAAAACCACCAAATTCATATAAATATAGCTACTGCTAATTCAATAAGAAATCGAAAGCAACCAAAAGAGAAACGCCCCCTAAAACAAAACTTTCTTTGTGGATCTTAGATTCAGGTAGGCAGTTTCTATGAGGCTTGGGGGCTCCCAATACGTAACTACGGTGTGCAAAGGCTTTCATTTTCCAACAAATATGTGTATGAAAGTGACAACCACGAGCAACTCATGTTCATCATGTTATAAATCATTGATTAATGGACAGGGATACTTTATAGAGTTTAAAAATGAAGTCTTGTTTCATTTCTCGTGATCTCTTTGTCGTCCTTAGATCAAATCCTCAGATTATAAGTGCCACAAGAGCTCTTCAACAATCCAGCAACTCATCAGACCAAAAAAATAACATTAATTATTGTTGATATCAAACCATCTTCACGTAAGCAAAATTTATCCAAAAAATACAACACAATTACAGGACATCTTGATCAATGTTTAAGACATTTACGTACAGAAACTGCAAAACATGGAGTGAGGAAGAATGTATAATGGGCAAAAAAAAAAAAAGGAGGGTTTGACGAAGATTACTTACTCAGTGCCTTTCTGTCGGAGGATGCGAAATTGCTCGGGAGATAGAATAGCCCGCCATTCCTCCTCTGATTTCTGAGCTGAATTGGGTGCTGCTGCCATAGATATAGTGACTCAAGTCTTGAAATTTTGATGTATAGATTTGCGTATTTATTTAAGGAAATTAAGGGCCAGTAGGTTGAGAATATTTTGAGGGCGAAAATGGATATGGACGGTTTATCGATTTAAGGGGGACTTTGTTGAATCGACTTCTTTTCGCATTTACCATTGTACCTTTTTTTTTTTTTTTTTTTTTTTTTTTTGGGGAGAATTTTTGTTGAGTTTCTCTCCGCCACTTTTGCCATTAAATTATTGATTCAATCAAAATAATAAAACTTAAAGACTCATTTGATTGGACTCATAATAGTTTGTTACCTCGCATCAGAATCATCATTAATGCTAGATAACATTATTGAGTTGATAATTAAATATTGTGTATATATCCGTTAAAAGAAGAGAGAAAAATCAATTACAAGTTACAACTCACATTGTCGGCTTGTGAAGATAAAGAGAAATCAATTAGGGATAATTGCAGCAGAAGCTTCAAACCTTCGAAATATTAGCAAACTTTCACCAAACTTTTGATTTGTGGCACTCGTCACCCCTAACCTTTCCAAACGTTGCATCCGAGGCCCTTTTGGATGGTTTTCATCCAAAATTCCGTCAGTTGACCAGAAAATTAATTTTGACTAAATTTTAACAATTTTTGAATGGACAAAATGGTAACTTTACATTAAAATAAAATAAAAATAAAAAAGTGAAACTCATCTTCTTCTAGAACCCACCCCCAAATCCCCCCATGAAAACCAGAAAAATCTGAACTTTCTAGATCAGGATCCTTCTGGTGAATGTTAGAGTGGCTGCTTCCTTTGGATAATTCTATTCCTCCTCCAACACGCCCTTCATTACCTCCTAAATTGAGTTCCAGTTCCATTGGAACCAGAAAAATTTCTCTGTTCAATTTGGTTTGGAAGGAATATTTACACCTGGATGAAGGTGGAGAAGGAAAACTGAGATAATTGAATTTGTAGAAATCTATTCCTTCCACACGAATCAGATTTTGCGAAAAATGCAGATCGGGAAACACTCTCCACTCAAATCTCATATTCTTGAAATTCAAAAAAATCAAAACTTTTCAATACTCCCCCCCAAAGCCCCCAACCCATCCCTGAAACTTAGAAAAACGCAGATCAACAAAATACGCCCTTAACTCACTTGCATCAACTACTCTCATAAACAATTCATCCTCACACACCACGCTCTCTCTCTTTTTGGATTTCTTGGAATCTGCATTTGTTGTGGTATTATATAATGGTAGACCAAGAGAACTGCAAGAGAGTCACTCACTTGGCAACTAAGAAGAGAGCAATGGCTGAGGCAGTGGCAATGGTAATAGTAATGACTTCTCAGAAACAGCGAAAGAAGAAGATGTTGTCAGAATGAAATTTGTTGTTGGGGTGGGTTAGGGGAGAGGACGAATTTTATTTTTCCTTTTTTATTTTTATTTTTATTTTGATTTTAATGTAAAGTTACTATTTTGCTCCTTTAAAAATTGTTAAAATGTGGTCAAAATTTTTTTTTTGATCAACTGACGAAATTTTGGATGAAAACCGTCCAAAAGGACCTCGGATGCAACGTTTGGAAATGTTAGGGGTGATGGATACCACAAATCAAAGGTTTGGAGAAAGTCTGTTAATGTTTCAAAAGTTTGAAGCTTCTGCTGCAATTATCCCAATCAATTATATCCACTTGTTCATTATCTGACAATTTTTCATCGTGCATTTTTTATTAAAATAGTCAAAATTATACTTAGTTACTATGTTTTGACGGGATCAACATGCTTGACACGGAGAGACCACCAAGCGATTCATCAAGAATGAAAACATACTAGTAATCCAACTAGCTTTTTAAAAATCAGTAAACAGATTTATACAAATACTTCTTTATAATCTAATCATTTACTTTTCTAAATGGGCATTGATAACTAGAATTGTCACAACCATGTTGCACATTTTGAATTGGATCGGCCTATTTGACCCAAATAAGATTGCAAGTAAATTTGTTTAGAACATAGGTAAATGAGAATTGTGATGTTATTTATAGTGAAAACTACTAGTCATTCTAAGTGGCATACATGTAACTGATACTTGATGCACAAATGCAATAAAAAATTATTACATTAATACATCAAATGACAAACTATCACGCGTATGCTACGTAGATCATAAACATGATGCAACCGAGAACTACACTATGTGAATCTATGATCAAATTATTGAACTGATTTACAAAAATACTTCGTTATATTGCTTGTAACATAAACCCACGACATACATGAATGATGAATTATATAGACTAACAAAGTTAGCATTCAACAGATACCACATAACCAAGGCAAAACTTTTTGGGAGTAACTTCCTTTTGGTCTTGTCTTTGTTTAGTTAATGCAGTACGAAAGAAACGATACGAAAAGTAAGCAAGATATCTTTCCCGCAATTGCATGAGAGGACGAGGTGGGGTGGGAGTTTCAAAGCAAGGAGAACTCACAAGTCACAGCTGAGGGTCGAGGAACTCGTGCAGACAGGAAAACAGCATCCGGTCTTTTGATATTCTAATTATAAAACATCGTTCATGTGGTGAATGCATAGCACAAAACAAGACAAAACACCTTGGAGTCAAAGTATGCATTTTTGGATTATAACTGCAAGCTACATATAACGGAATGGAGAACTGGAATTTTTATGAGAGAAGCAACCACTAAAGTAAGAATCAGATGATTTATACAGTTGTCGTCAAGTCAAGTCTTTAACGTGTACAATGATGATAGTTATATCGTCAGTCCGGTTTTCGTGCTCTAACCATAATTTGTACGATTCTCTGGCAATGGAAACACATGCATCCCTGGGATCAGCATGCTTAGTCACCTGCAAAGATGGATGGCAAAAACAAAGTCAGATATAAGAGAAATTGTATCGTCAATACCTCGACTCATCAAGCAGAAAGTTACTATTCTCTTAAACATAATACATCAAATGGCATGGACAAGAGTGCAAGCAAGTGTTGATAAATTGAATATTAACAAAAAAGTACATGCAGGGACTGAGCTTCTAGATTTCCTTCATCAGTAAACTGAAAACAAGATTTAAAGGATTTCAAATGATAACCAAATTCTTCATCAAGTCGACTGCATTATAAGAAACTGTATTAAAACAAAAATTTATAGCATCAATGTTAATATTGAATGCAACTGATCACTTGCTCTCGAGTTTGTGATTTTCTTAAAAGGAAAAATAAATAAAATAAAAATAAAACAGCTGCAACAAGATGTATCAGGAAGTGCACTAACTTTCCACTGAACTGAATATGGACAAGAACCAAGTCCTTAACCCATTGAATTTCATGCGCATGAGGCCTGTCGAAAATATCCCACTGTTGTTAAAATATATCGTGTTGCAGAGTATTTTGTTAGCAACTGCCGACCCGCATGCCAATAATAGTTTCATTGAGTTGATGAACTCTAATTGGTACTAGAAATGAGGTACAATACGTCTACAAGAAATAGAAACTGGAAAAGAATAACAAATCATTATTTTTAACAAATCAATATATTGAGCTAATTTTCCAATCCAAAAAAAGGTAATTGTTTAGACCATTTTATGGAAAGATAGTTGCATCCATAATTAATGTTTTAAATAAAAATTTTCCAAGCATGGAGCAATAGAAGAAAGGCATATTTCTACGCAACTTCTAAAAATGTGACTTTTAACTACTTGTTCGTGTGTTTTAATCTCTGTGGAGTGTGGAGTTTTACGTATCATTAACCAGCATATGCATTATTTCTGGAATAAATAAACTATTTATGGCAATCCAAGAAGAAACGACCAGAGGCATTCGATAAATTCCTAAAACTTGATGCTGCATTTGTAAATATGGGAAGGAACAAATGGAACTGCCATACATAACTAAAAAGTATCACATACCATGTCCACCACATTTTGGCTGGATAGGAACTCAAAAACCCCATCACTTGCAACAACAAAGAATGGATGGCTAGGTGTAAGCTGCACTGTTAACACCTCTGGATCAGCAACCACACCAATCTTCTCAGCCGTGCTATCTCCAATACTTCGTGTAAATGCAGTTCCAGGATACATCCCATTTTGCACCCACAACCTTGGTGGATCACCCCCCTGAGTTTCCTCATCCCCCCAAGACTGAATTCCTGGATCCTTAAGCCCTTCCACTTGATCAACGCTCAGAACTCGAGCCCCAAAAAGCTTCACCCGCTCACATTCATCTTTCCTGAATGGCGTTTGGTCATATGACAGATCTTTAGCAAGAACTCTGTTTCCGTCCTTGATAGCAATCACTGCTCGAGAATCACCCACATTTGCTACGTATAGTCCATCCCCGATGACCAAAGCTGTAATAGCCGTTGTACCACTCATGGAATCATCTATATCACTACTGTGAAGTTCATCATTTGTTGACAAAAATGCAGCTTTATAGGCCTTAACAGGATCATCAAATAATGTAGCATCATTCGACAAAATTTCCACCAGCCTATCCTTGACGAAATTCGAGCACTGTGAGCCAAACTGTCCATGCCCATCAAACACACCAAAGAAATGTGCATCCGGGTTGCCTTGAATCTTTGTTCTAATACAATAACTATCTTGATTGTCCTTTTCAGGGGTTTCAGGATAATACCCACGGTGCGTAAGCATGGAATACTCTAACCTGTAATTTTGTGAAGGAACATCCACAACCTCTAAAGAACTGTTAGCAAGTATATACGTATTCTTACCCCTAAATACATCCAATTCTTCCTTGTCATCACCACTTGAGGATTTAGGAAAACTGATACAACACTTCCCATGAACACACCCCATTTTCCAATGTAATTTGAAGATATCAACAAAGAAACGCTCACAATACCCACAAAATGTTCGTCGAAAGTTCTGAGAGAAACGTAGGGATTTAGAACCACACCCACAAAAAGATGTAACTCTTAACGACGATAGTCATATTGGATTTCTTCATATTCCACATTTAGTTGATTTTCGAAATGGATTTCCAAAAAAACCCACAAAAAGTGGTTTCTTGGAATGCAATTTTGATTGCCAAATGATGAGGCTTTGTAATCTCAAACAAAAAGGGGTTTTCTTTTATTTTCTAGTAACCAAAAAAATTTGATATCAAGATTGGAATAAAGTAATCAACAAACTTTGAGAGAATTTTGAAGAGACAGAAAGGAAATCATATAGGCCAAAAAGGAAATCAAACCCTTGCTTTGATCAAACATAGAAATTGCATAACTTATGGAGTTGGGTTTTGTGGGGTCCGCAGAAGGAAAATCAAGATCATGAACATCGAAAAGGAAAGGAAACAACTTGGAAAAAAATTTGTAAAAGAAATTTGGGAAATTAAAAAGATAAAGGGGTTTATGAATTATGACTACATAACGGGACAAATGAAAAAGAAAGGTTAGAATTAGAGGCTTTTGTTTCACGAGTTTGTCACTGTGTGCATGGAATGTCTGCTTGCAAAGCCCACAAAAATTTTCCAATTTCAAATTTTCAAAAAACACATGCGAATGTATTGAGACGGGACAGATAAGACGAGAGCTATTTATTATCATTGATTTCTTCATTTGACTTTTTTTAACTCTTCTAATCTCATTATTTGGAAATTCGCTTTTTAGAATTGGACTATTATTTTAATATATTCTCCACATCCCAACATATCATGCCGGGATTGGTTCAGTGACAATATTTGATTAAAAATTTAAGTTAAAATTAATAATTAATTTTAATCACATGCTTTATGAAATTCACAACTTTTAAAGTATACATTCCATCAATTTTTATTAAATATAAATTTAATTTTTAACTAAACCAAACGGGATCACATCTTCTTAAAAAATAGATTTTTGGTGTCAAAAAAATCTGTTGACGTCTTTCTATTTTTTTAAGCGTTGCATAATTATGTGAACGTATGTCAAATTATTTAACTGAAATTCATTTTTGAATTGGAAAAGTCAAATTGTTCTAGCCATCTAAAGCTCAAAGAAATGTATATTAGGTAAAAAATTCTGGGTAGGGGTTGCTTAGAATGTAATAATGCTATGCAGTGAGATTTGTTTTCAAAATTCAGAGTAGTATTCGACACTTAACCCTGTTTGTTTCCCATTTTTCCTTTATTTTCAGAAGAAAAAGAGTCATTATTGGGCCACACTTGGCATGACAAGTTTGACTTGCTTCTCACAATTTGTGTGGAGAGGTGAGCTCAACGATTGAAAATTTCATTCTCATTTTTGGGAAAATGCCCCTCAAACAGGCACTTTGATGTGAACTCGTGTAGGCAAACACTACCAAATCCACGATCAAGATTGAAAATCGACCCAAGAAAGACAAAGCATGATTTTGGATTAAACTCAATAAATTTGGAATCAAGCAACTCGAATCGCCAACGATGTGTGGACCTCTTAATTACGCAAAAATATGTGAATCTCACCCGATTGATTTGAACGCCACAAGATTTAAATCTTGATAAGTTCGTAGATTGTCCAATTGAAGAACACGTGAAGAAAGCAATAAAACCCTCTCAATAATAATAATGTCAATAGTTCCTACAATGTAGAAAAAATCCTATTTATACTAAACCTAGGAACGAGTTTTAAAAGGAATAAAACTCTAGTAAAATAATTGAAAACGGAATTATAGACTCCTAACAATATTAAGTTACTAAAATAATAAGAGTTTTAATGGAAATAAACTTCTCGCCAAAAATAGAAATTCCGCCCAAGTTTTTTTCTATGCGGCCACATAGAGTTAATCTATGTGGTCGCATAGTATAGCTTCTTGCTTGGCTCGAAATTCCTGCCACCCTTGTTGTGACTGCATGGGTTGGAGAGTTCGTATAACTCTTGGTTGAACTCCCCTTTTCCGTCACTTGAAACACATTGATCCATGCTTCTTTGGCCTTCGTCCTCAATATGAAACTTGTCCCATTTTGAGTCCCGAACATGTTTCCATCAATGGTCGCCTTACTAAGCAATCTCATCGCCTCTTTCACTCGTTTCTTCCTCGCTCGCGTCATTGGCTCACCTTCGACTATCAACGGATCTTTCATCGGGCTTAACGTTGGATTTGATTTTGTCGCTCACATCATACTTAATAATGGATATTTTTTATATGAATTTTTTTCTTAAAAATAAATTACGATTTTTTTTCTCTACTCCAATGAATTTTGACAATAGTCAATACGAGAATCAACATCGCTCCCAAATAAATTATGGTAATAAAGGAATTTGAATTCATATATAATTGATGTCTTGATCGACTAAGACAATGATAAAACTCGTATAAAAAGATTAATTGTTTAGTTTCATAATAATGAATTCGATGTGACCATCGAAACGAGACCATGAATGTTCATATTAAAGGCCACAATTTGTAGTATAGTTTCAAAAGAATTATTACATTGCCATATATAAACTTTTATGGCTATTTTAGGGCAAATGTATGAAAATCCCTAACTTCAGTTAAAAATTAAGTTCCTCAAACATGTAGGGTTTTTTTCTCCATATAATAGAGATATCAAAATAATAAATACATGAATAGAAAGAAATAGATTATGGGCCCTTTAAATTTGGCAACAAATATTTCTTTATTTTATTATTGATTTAATAATCTTTCCATTTTTGCTTTAGTAAATAAATTATAAAATAAAGTCTTCTTATGTCAACTACTGATCCGATATTTTTACTTCTCCAAACTTTCTAAAGGTAATTCCTATGTCTCTTGTCTCAAATTTCGTCCTAAATTTTTTTACGCCAATCTTCTCATTTTCCACTCCTCGCCCTTTCTCTTTTCCAGACATTTGGAGACTTTAAAAGTTTCTGTTAAAATTTAGGTAAATTATAGCAACAGTTAGGGGCGGACCCAAGGGTGGTCCCCTAATTTTTTTTTCCCGGGCTGAATAAGAAATATTAAATAAAATTGAAATATTACATTTTTAATATTATTTTGAAGCACTCACGACCTAATATTTCACGTCATTAATGTTTTGCGAAATGACCAATTATAGCAAATGTTATGACGCATCAAAATAGGCCGTTTCAAACTAATATTTCGAAAATTTCAATAATAAGCTAATGTTAAAAAAATTTCAATGATTATACGCAAGCCATATCCATAAATCTTCTCATTTTAAGAATTATATCATAAATATATCGAATGATCTAAATGAATATCGAAAATAGTTAAACGTACGTCAAACATGTATGCTAAAAAGAGACGTATAATGCGTCTTTTTTGAAAAAAATCAATTATTTTATTAATGTTTATTATTTTTTCACGACATATTTCTGAATATAATTTACATCATTTTATTAGGAAATTTCATGCGTGGTATGACATCAAATTTTATTTTTTTAACGTAAAAATTCTTAATAAAATTTCCATTACTTCATAGGGGTTATAAATTGTTATACTATTTTTTCATCTTGATTATTTTTATATTTAAAAAAATTTATATATAAAAAAAATTCAATCACTTTTAGGATATTTTTTATTTATTATTATTGTTACATTTTCCTCTCGATCCATTAATTTTTTTTTGTTTTTTCAAATGACGTCAAAAATTTTATTAGGAAATTTATTAGATTATTTTTTTAACAAAATTTAGTTGATTGAGAGGGAAAAGTAACAATAATAAAAAAAATCCTAAAAATGATCAAATTTATATATATAAGTAGTATAACAGTTTATAACACATATAAAGTAATAAAAAAATTTCGTCGTTTTTTTTTTTAAAATTTGATTGTGACTTTCTAATGTAAAATGTCAGGGTTCGCCCTCGACGATAGTTCCAAATCTTTCGATTTTTAGAAGGCGATCTTATGAAATATGTAGCTTTAGGACAAATGGATGGATTAGTTGACATTGAATAAAAATGTAAAATGATAAATATACTCTCCTATTTAAATAAAAATTAAATTGTAATTATACTCCCAAACTTTTAAAAAACTGCAAATGAGTTCATATAAATTATTAAAAGAGTAATTAGCCCAAAATATCTATATCTTTCATTATTATTGTGTAAAACGTCATACTTTTCATTTTTTGATATTTTCATTCTCATTTTCACATTTCATTTGCGAAGATCATTATTTTCATCAATTTTTCTATTAAAAGCTGCAAAATGACGAATATATCTTCTTATTTAAATAAAATAAAAATAAAAAATAAATTACAACTATACTCCTAAATTTCGCAAAAAAGTACAAATAAGCCTCAAATAAATAATTAAAAACAAAAAAAATTAAAAAATCAGTTTCTTTTTTAATTATTTATTTGAAATTTATTTTTGCTTTTTTGAAAAAATTGGGAGTATAATTCAAATTTATTTTTTATTTTTATTTTATTTAAATAAAAGAGTATATTTTTAATTTTACAACTTTTAATTGGAAAAATAAAAAATAATGATTTTCGCAATATAATGTAAAAATAATGGTGAAAATGTTAAAAAATAAAAGGTACAGACATTTTTTACAATAATGTTGAAGGGTAGGGACATTTTGGTGCTAATTACACTTTTAATAATTTATATGGACTTATTTGCAGTTTTTAAAAAAGTTTGGAAGTACAATTGCAATTTGTTCTTTATTTTTTTTATTTTTATTTAAATAGGAAGGTACAGTTGTTATTTTATATTTTTTTTATCGAAAAATTGGATGAAAATGACATTTTTGATAATGAAAGGTGAAAATAGAGTTGAAAATATCAAAAAATGAAGGGTAATAACGTTTTGCACAGCAACATTGAAAAGTAAAGACGTTTAACCAATCCTTTTAATTCCAGAAAGCAAAGTACGAATTCGATCGTGAATAGGATGGAGCCGACTTTTATAGGAAAGGAGGTGAAGAAAAATAGTCAAGGTCTTAATTCTAACCTAATTTCTGCTAATTAATCTTTAAGACTCATTATTTACCTCATTTTTGCTTTGGTTTACCAATTTAAAATCATATTATGCTGTTTCTTTTTAAACTAAAAGTAATGGCATGTAAATCGTCTAGGACTTTAAAACACTTTCCACTGTAAAAATCATAATTAGTCATAAAAAAAAAATAGTTACATAAATTAAACAGTAAATGCAGTATTAATACATAATCTAAACGACATGATAATAATAATAATAATAATAAAATGAATTTAATGAGCCTGGATGTCTTCATAAAGTTGTCCCCTTAATTATGACCACTAGAATTTTGACACATCACTTCAATTTAGATATGTAATAATAAACCTATTAAAATCTCAATAAAACTTCATTGTAATTTTAATTGAGTTGTCTAAAGGTTTAATCTTTTACTAAAATTGGCACAATAAAATTGTAGATGTCAAGTATCTGACAAAGTATGACTAAAATAATTGCAAGTCTAAACTGGATTTTAATGCATTTATATCCACTTACAAAAAGACACATCGCTTCAATTTGGAGGTGTAATATAAA